CTTATGTTGATAAAAGCTTTCAATCACCTCTAAGGCTGCACTTTTTCACCCCATCCGTAGATTCTCCGGGATTTCCCAATCTCAACTCATTTGCATACCATCGTGTCCAAGAAGTCACGTTCTTTCGAAGAAGCCTACTTGGAGGCTCGCAGGATAACTACTGGCCTGGCTACAAGCCTGCAAAGCGGTGCAAGTCAGTGGTGCAGGTGGGGTCATGTACACGCACTGTCAAGAGCCATTTTCAGCGAAGAAACTCACCAGCACACGTCCGATGCATAGAGGATGGCAAAGAGCATCCGTTTCATCCGAGTAGCTTTGTTGGGATGTCTTGTATGAGTTTTTATGTGAAGAAATTTGGCTTGAAAAAATAAATAGAAATTATTTTCTGAAAAAGCAAAATGAAATTCAACCTTGGATTTTTTGGAAGTAACCACTACTTGGTTATGTGCTCGATGAGCTCTATGATTTAGGCCCGTAGTAAACCTCCCATCATTTCAGATGATCTCAACTGAGGGGCTAAGTTGAGGTATTTAAGATAAACTGACTAGCATTCACTCTCACATGTTTAAGAATGCGACTGCGATCTGAAGGATTAGCGTCAGGGCATGTGCCGCGATGAATTCATCTAAAATCCGTAAGAGCAGCCTCGATTTTGAGATGAATTGACCGAAATAGTGTGCAAGGGATGAGACGCAAAGAAAAGTCCCGTAAGTTGCTCGTGAGTAACTTACGGGACACTTACATAATATTGCAGACTAGAATGCGCGAAACTGCACAACCGCGCCCGAGTAGGAGAGGCTCGATGAACAGTTGATTTTGGCGAGGAAAACAAAAAAAATTCTGCTCTTTTTTAAATTTCACTGTTTTTTTTTGAAGTTGTTCAGAATGAGAACTCACTTGTTCATTTCATTAAATTCACGCTGAAACCATTTCGTTTTTTTATAAAAATCTCGTCACAAAATGTTTTTTGTTTTACCCGTGCATTGCTAGGCAAAATCCTCGATAGCGGTCATGATCGATTGCGATAGTGGCCGCTATCAAAGATTGTCCGGCGATGCAGCAAAAGTCTTGTCACTAAACGGGATCGAACCACGGCCGTGCGCGTGTAATTCAAATTACTTACCCGTTCGACCAAACCGGATCAAGTGGCCATTTTTCAAGAATGCACTTGATTATAATGTTCAGGAAGTGATCCGCATCCAGATCAATAGCTCGCCGGATGCTAGACTGAGGTGCGGTGAGATCGACCCCCAGTCCGCGTCAGGAGAGATGCCCTGATGGGGGGTTTACTACGGACCTTAGTATGATATAGTGTGCTTAACTGTCCGAAAAACTACTGTCTTTGCTCCAAACAAAGATCTAAAGAAAAATTTTAGCGTTATTAATGTCCGCGACATTGTGACAATATTTTCCAAGAAGCGCAACGTGGGGGTTGCAGCACTTAAAAAGCTCTACCACCTCATGCAATCCAACCATTTTTTCATCTTTGTTTTCCATCCGAAAATGAGCGATGAAGAAAAGGAAGGCAGCTTGTCCGCAAATTGTTGGCGGTCACTGTATGTTGACTATACTACTCAACTTTTCGCAAGTCTTTCAAGCTTTTCAAGTGTATAATCACGTGTCTGAGTAGCATTGAAAAACATTAATAATTGAATACGGTTGAGTGCGAGTTTCATAATTGAATTCAGTAACCCTTTCAAACAAAATACTGCTCGCAATGTCTCAAAACCTTCTTTAATTTCCTACGATAACCCTGCAGAAGATAATCTAAAACTTGCTTTGTACTATAAATTTGAGTTGAGGTCAGCCCTACAGAATTGTCCCTAAAGTTCGGAAAAAGACTTTCTGGAAGGGTAACTAACGATTAAATAGTGTTTGCATATTTTTAAGACACCGGCGGTATATATGGGCTGCTGTATGACAAAGGCGCTTACCTTTGAGCGCGAACGCAGCTTCTTTAGCCGCAGAGCGCATAAGACGTAGAACTTACAACGTTGAATATACGCGCACGCCGCGTTGGCGACGCTCAACTACTACTGCTTCTGCGCCTTCGCTGCAGTAGCTTTTATGTTTGGATGGTCCCCGTACGCTAATCTGAACTATATGCAAAAGGCGCTTTGTATTTCGCAGTAATTGCTCAATTTCACTATTCAGAGCTACGATTTTGACTTTTTTTTTTGAAGTTCTGGAAATTTCTTTAACCACTGTAGTAAGCTTTTAGGTTCTCAAGTCCTTTTATACCACTAAGCCTTTTTTTATCAAAAATTATAACGCGAACATGTGTATTCTTACAAGAATAGACATTTTTACATAGACATGACTAGACAATTCTTCTCATTCTTCTATTCATTCTTGTCTATTCTTCTTCTCTATTCTTGTTGTACTTACACGAAGCAAATAAGATATTACTCTCGAGGCAGTCATCTCATTGACACTTTCATTCGAATAATATTCGAAAATCGCATAGAATCCAAAAATCGAATGACAGTCAGAACCTAATAATATTCGAAAGTTGATTACGAATGATTTTCGTATTCTAATATTTCATTCGATGGTCAAATGATTGAAATTTTTGATGGATAATATTCTATAGTCGAATATGCAAACATTTCGACTTTCGAATCTTATTCGATAAGCGAATATTCGAAAAAAATTCGAATCTCCCTAAGTATAATGTGGCGCGGTTGTTCGTGACAAAAGTCTTCTGTCCTATGTGTTCATATAATAGTGAAGCACATAGGAACAGGGGAAAATGAGTAGGATTGAAATCAAGATTTGTAGAGCTTTGTATTTGAATTCAAATTTGACAGTAACGATTGCACCTCACGACCATCCTCTTCGCCTTGATGGGTCAATAGCACGAAAGCCGATGCAAGACCGCTACCGCTTGAGGGCACCGTCCACCCAAGTTGAGTGCCTTGAGCTATTGGCAGCATATGATAGCAGGGCCCCCTATCAAGCCAATTCCCAAGTCGCGCGCAAAATGTCGCTTCGGAAGCGAGAAAATCGCTCCGGATTAACGAAGATGCACGAGGTTTTCCAGACGGCGCCGGCCTCCCCATCCATGCCCGCCCATTTGTGCGTGCCCATCCAATCACCGTTGCGGAAAGACGGCAGTAGATTCTCCGAAATAAGAATTTTGGGGTTTTTGCGGGTTCTCTTATATGCGGAATCAGGGAGGCCCTGAAACGAGAAAAACCTGGAAGTCGAGAATTTGGATGGACGGTGTCTTTAATTCCGTACCGGAGACATTGGTGATAAACTTCATGGTGGGTGCATAAATTGCGCATTGCCTTTGGGTTCTTCAAGGTTTCCACTAAAAGCCCCATGTGCTCAGGAGTGGGCACTGTCTCTTAGTCAATAAGATCTGCCTTTGTGACCTAGTTGCATTATTTTTCAATTAAGATAGAGTCAGAGTATGTAAGAGCGGAGAAACAAAAATAAGCCAGTTGTTTTTGCACGGAAACGGCTGCGGAGGAAGTTATGCAGAAGTGCAGGTTGTGTGATTGCCATTGCGTAGATATGAAGTAGCTGGGGAGTTCAGGGGTTGTGGTGCAAGAGGAACGATAGCAATTGCCAGCCGCTGCTGTCAATGTAACATTTGCCTCAAACTGCGCTGATTTCAGACTTATAAACTTGAGTAAAGTTGGAATAAATGCTTGACTTCATGAGTTCTGCTCAGAGCCCAGTGGTATGTGCAATTCGGTGATGTTCTTGCAAGAATAAGCTTGAAATACTTGAAGTTTCACCGTTGAAAAGCTTCTTTGATATTTATAACTTATTTTCATTCCATTTCCAAGCAAACAGAATCTATCTCATTCTCCTGTTCAAATGAAAGTGTAATAGGAAGAAATGCTCTAGATTTCTGCACGCTGATGGACAAATATGACGGCGCGAGTTATAGACACCCACCCAGGGCTCAGCACAGCTGGCACCGGGTCAAGCTGGATATCGTTTTTAGGGCGGAAAGCAAAGGGGATATCGTTTCTACAGGGGCCGAGGCGGAGACCTGCCGCAAAAATGCCGCCGGCATGCCACCGGCATGCCATTGGCAAGCTGTCCATCAACAAACAAAGGCGTTGTTTTTAGCCAAAACGCAATAGTATGACACCAAATTTGGTGTGTGCATGCGCGTTGGTGGACCGGAACTATGGGCCAAAAATTCATGAAAACTTATGTGAATGAAAGCTGTGCCGAACTTTTTTCTGAATTAGCTGGCACCGTGCCAGCTGGGTGCCAGCTGAGCTGGCACCGACACTTTGCTCACATGAATTTTCATACTTTTTTACATAGAATGTATCTACACTGTAAAAGATTACATACGGAGAAGAAAAAGTTTCATAATGTTCTCTTTTCAGCGTTTTAGAGCAATTTGAAAACCACTCGGTCCGCTCCGCAGTTGAAAAATCGGCTTTTTCTGCTTCTCAAGATGTGATTCGACCACTTAAAAAGCTCAGAAAGCTGTGAAAAGTTCTTTCATGAAATCAGAAATGCATGAAAACACCACTACATTTTTTTAAATAATATAAAAATGATAACGGTTTTTCAAAATAGGTCAAAAGGGACTTCGTACGAAATTTTCAATATCAAACGGGACTTCGTTTTGAAATTTCCCTGGTGCCAGCTCGTGCCGAGCCCTGCACCCACCAGCTATCGTTCCTCTTGCTCGCCACCTGAGTTCAAGAGATGACAGCCAGTAATTTGGACATGAGCTGCTAGAGTCTGTTCCCCAAGTTATGTACGAAGTCGTGTGGAATTTGTACCCTTCTCTTCATACCAGAGATCAACACCCGATCATTTTCGAAGGTTCAGTGTAAGGATACTACTGTGGGACAATAAGATCTCAGAATAAAACTTTGGAAGTCGGGAGGGGGGGGGCTGCAGCGCAGAGGAGATTGAGCGAAGCGGCATCCGTACTTTTGCAAAACTTCAAAACGCCAATTATTCACTTCAGTTCAATATGTTATACAGAGCACATAGATAAAGACACCCCCTTTAAGCATTGGCGAAAGCAGAGCCACAAAGCGAACAATGGGGATACCCGCGATGCCACTGGATTGGGCTGAAACTCAATCGCAATTCTTTAAAACCTGACAAATTTGAATGGTCGAATGGCGAAGAGAACTGGTATCGGAATTGGCATCCAGGTCGTCCAGATGACTGGTATGGAGAGGAATGTGTCCATGTAAGTCCGGTGATATGTGCAATCAAAACAGGCCATGTTAAGTTAGTCACATTCAGTACTCGTTTGAGAGTGGGTTTTGGGATCAGTGGAATGACTTAGACTGTAACAAAAAACTGCAATACTTCTGCGAATGGGATTCTTGCAAAAAAGCACTCAGTAAAATCTGAAAACGACGTTTTCTTCGTTTGATTGATTGAGTTTGAGAACAAGACTGTTAGAAGTTTGATTGATGAAGTCTGGCGAACTTGTTTTTTTTTTGTTCTCATATGTCTAATTTTGCATTTGTTTGTTTTGTAGTCAAAACCCTTTCTCATCCTACAATAAAAATTTTTTTAATATCCAAAGGGTAAAGTAGTCTTGCTTTTGTGCACAGTTAGAAAATGAGCAACCTGCAGAGTATTAAAACTATAAGAAAACTAAAGTTATTATTCGACGCAAACCTTGTATTTCACTTGATAAAAATAATACGTTCGTATACGTTTCTTAATTGATGGGAAGTAAGGGTCATTGTTTCCATGATTTTATTCCACGAAAATTTATGTTCGACTGTCACAGCTGGAAGACCTAATTTAGATCAGAATCTACAATTTCTGAACATCAACTGACTTTCACCAAGGCCGGGGGGAGCGGGCATCCGGGGTTGAACTTTAAGACAACATTGACGCAACTGCCTAGAAGTACTGGAGAACCGACTGCTGTCCTCATTCCATAAAAACCGAAGACAGCAGCACAACTGCAGTACTATGCAGATTGACTGAAGTTAAAGTCAAGCAGGTAAAATTAAGTTTACCATCATTCTACACTAACATCGCTTGATGATTTATAATGATCGCCTTGGTGTCCTTAGCTAATTCTATGAATAATGTTTGCGTTATACTAGCAAGGCGTTTCTGTGCAAACACAAGAAGAACGAAGCAACATTATACGCAAATTTGTTAATTAAAAAAGCACGTCTAACAGGCCTAATGATGTGATAGGAAACAGTAATCCGTTTATTTGTGAGTACAATGTTCATCCGTTCATTTGAAAATGTCTTGCTCGAAAGTGCCGCATGTTTTTGTAGCCGAAAGAAACACTTATGATACTACTTTCGACTTGACAGTCAGTTCTACTCGCTATCAAGTGTAGACACAAAGTTACCATACCGAAGGGGTACTCCGACTTTTACAACAACTTGGAAATCCCAAATTTGGGAATGTCTTATAGTTATTACACAGAGTGTACACGCTTTCAACTTCAGCAACACTCCAAATCAGACAGACATACGGGCTTATATTTCACTCTGTTATGGATAATGCAACTTAGAGATGGAGTGAATGTGACCAGCTTGCAAAGGTGATCATTAAAATTTGCGAATGAAAATCTTCGTAAAAGAGTTGAGCGGATCAAGAAACTATTAACGCAGTAGCAGTCTGCAAAACAGAAAGTTGGCTCTTACATGTTTTGGTTCAAGCGGCAAATGAGCGCAATTTAGCAGTGTACAGAAGAAGGCTTTACTGTTTTTGGAGAACATCTGTGCTCTTAGTTGGGAATATTCGAAATTTTTTCTGAATAATCGGACAGTATGGTCGAGAAAAGATCGAATTCACATTTCGAGTATTTACAGAAATAAAAATGTCGTATCTTCACAAAGTCGAGTAGATTCTTGGCTTAAAGGTAGTGTCCGGGCAAAAACTCGATTTTGAGATTTTGTGCTTATAAGGGTCTATTCGCCATGCTGAATTCGAAAATCCACATTGGAAAGCGCGAAAACGGCGAAAAAGGGCTCTAACACAGGAGGGAAATCAGCAGGTGGGCGGGGCTTTCCCCAGTGCGATTTCACGCTCCCAGCTCCCGGAGCGATTTTCTCGATTCCGCTAGCCCTTCCAACATCGCTACTGGTCAAGTGCGAACGATTGACTTGAAACCGGAAGCGAGAGGGTCGCTCCGGAAGCCGGTAACGTGAATTCGCAGTGGGGAGGACTCCGCCCACCTGCTCATTTCCCTCCTGTGTTAGAGCCGTTTTTCGCCATTTTCGCGCTCTACAATGTGCATTTTCGGATTCAGCGTAGCGAATAGGCCCAGGTAAGCACAAAATCTCAAAATCGAGTTTTTGCCCGGACACTGCCTTTAACACGTTTCGGACGGCAAATCGCGCGCGGCGAAAAAGAGTGCACTTTCAGCCGTTAGCCTACAAAGGGACCTTATTTCGCAGCCTGTGGGCCACATTTGTAATCAGCATCTTATATATAAAGCTGAATGTCTGTCTGTATGTATGTATGTCTGTCTGTCTGTACGTATGTGCGGAATAGAAATTTTTATTTCTGAACCGATCGGGACCAAACTTGGCACACATATACTTCGGGGCAGGGAGCGTGTCATAGGCTACTTTTCGTTATCGATCGATATCGATTTTATCGATTTTTTGCAAAATTTGAGCTAGGGGGCTGGGATTTTGCACAGGGGGGTAATCGAACATGCTGATCACCCCCCTGTGCAAAATCCCAGCCCCGTAGCTCAAAATTTGCAAAAAATCGGTGAAGTCGACATCGATCGATAACGAAAAATGGACTATGACACGCTCCCTGCCCCGAAGTGTATGTGTGCAAAGTTTGGCCCGGGCGGAGCCGGGTTTGCCATCTAGTGTCAGATAAGCTCCATATTCAAAGTTCTGAGTGAATTCAAAGCTTTAAATTTTGTTGCAGCAGAGTGACTTTTGTGCTTTCTTAAAAGATAGGAACAAGAACTCAGATTCTAATAGTATTTAAAAGTATATATGTTGTACACGGTACACATCAATATTGAAACTACGGTTTTTCTCTTTGATATCGAAGCAAAGGAAATTTGCGACGTCGCACGCGTCGTTCGCGTTGCCGCATTTCGTTGCAACTGTTGTTCGATTTGTGCTCATATCTCCTAAACAAATATCGGCGGCACAACTCTACAGAGTCATTTGAAAAGTAGGAGCTTAGACCTTTGACTTAACAACTTTAGACTAAAAGGAAACCTCCTGCAAACGCCAGAAAGATCCTTCAAAGCAGCGCGCTGCACCATGTGCAGCATCGGTCCGAAACGTGTTGATGAGTATGAATTGCTTGATCTCATTACAATAGCGAATCAACTATACTGCACGTAGAATCAAGAAGGCAAATTGTCCAACAGTGCTGATTCTCGCTGTCTGATATCAAAAATTTCGTTAGGACATTCACAAGTTACTTGAAAAAATCGCTTTGCAGATAGCGAACACAAATATCAGTTTGCGCCACAAATACTTCAATGTGCTACTCATGTGGAAGGGTCAGGTGACCTCGGCCTTCCCTCTAAGCCTCTATTTTACAAAATACATAAAAAAGGAACTGTGGCAGACAGAGAATACGGAGGGCGAGATGAACATAGAGAAATTCAGAAGAGTAGCAAAGATTAGAGGTAATCAAGTAGAGGAAAACTTCAGGGTGATACCGCGCCAGCATTTGCCGCTAGCAGCAGCCGCCGCTAGCCGCTTTGGTGCTATCCATAACTCAGATAACTCAAACAATCAATGGGAACTTCCCGAGGTCCGTGAGGGAACTTTCCTCGGGTCACCTGCGGAAGTTCCCGTGAAGCGCTCGGGAAGTTTGTAAAAAAGTCCTCGGGAAATTCGCAAGAAGTGGGAAATCTCCCGAGAACTTATCTACAGAACTTCCTGAGGGCTTCACATTGGCTCCGCGTAGCTGTACCGAACCTTCATGATGAATCCTGCTACTTCATAAAGCCGCACCCTTAGTACAGCTACTCAAAGTAGTGTAGTAGTAAGGGTGGAGCACTAGTAGTAGTTATACGCAAAAACAGATATGCTCCATCATTTATTGTTATAGCAGTAGATATAACATATCGACGGAGGGAATGGGAGAATTTCTTCAAGTTCTTAAAAGATCGAATTACAGTAGCCCGGATAATGCGTAAGGAGTATCATATTGATAGTGAGATATGAAGTAAGCATGTAGTGAATATAGAGGTAAGCGGGGAGTAAGTAAATGAAGCACTGATTAATGAGAAACATGCTTAACTAATGAGGCAAAGGCACGATGTTACATGAGAAGACTTATGATGGATCAGAAATTAAACATCAGGTTCAAACAGGACAGCGACGGGATCAAATTCCACTACTGTGTAGCGCTTTCCTCTTCCATTCTGACTTCGTCATACTTGCCTTGTCCTCTCTACCAAATCCGACCTGCGTAGCCTTGTATTTCTGGAAAACAAATTTTTAGTATAAAAACAACTGAGACTAAGTTTGAACCTTTGAAGGCACAAGTTTTCCCTTGTCGAGGCGATAATAACGGACATCCTCGCTGTAAAACTGAATTTAGAAGCAGAAGACGATTCTGGAAAACTTACAGTGCTTCTGCGATACAGGTCCTGATTTGGCCGCAGTAGAAAGTTTTTTGCTCCAGCAGATAGTTGAACTTTTTCTCGCGTTCTTCATCGGATGTACCCAGAGAGATCCAGTAACTAAATCATTTGAGTAGGTAAAGACTGCTTACGAAACACCAACGCACCTAGTGCGCAAGCTTCTTATCGAATTCAATCTGTATCCCTCCAAATCCTCGTTGCCGAGGCTAAGCGCATCCAATACGAAATCTAAAGAATGATTTGAATGAGAATTTCTTACATGACTAGTTTCGTACCGTTGAGTGTGATAACTATGGACTCAGGCAGATCTTGTAAATCCGGCTTGCGCGATACATTAGATGTACGATGATGATCGTTTACTCGCATTACCATTGTTACTAGTGCTACTCGTATTACCCGTGTTACTCACTCGCCACTAGTCAATGAGATCGCGTTCTAGAATGAGCCTGTATCTGTGATCATTTCACTACTTAAAGCACTAAAAGCGGTAAAAGCAGTAACACTAGTAACATTAGTAACACAGGTTACACCGGTAACATGGGTAACACGGATAAAGTTCGGCCAAAGCCTAATGGATCTATAAATTTGAGTAGCAAAAGATTCCACCAAACCAATCGTGAAAAAATACACTTATCACAGCTTTAGTTTCAACCATACAAAAGCGCTGTTTCTGCTGTTAGCAGGCAGCGTTTCCATCGTCAGTTGTTATCGACGTTCTGTTGCTACTGTTGTTAACCACTACTGCTGCTGTTATTTGCTACCCCTGCTACTGCTGTTAGATGATGGAACGAACAATCAAGTCTCATTTCTCCATACAAGTTTTCAATGATTAGGTAGCAGCAGCAACATCAGTAACAAGGATACAGCGGTAACATCAGCAACAGCGGCAACAATTGATAGTGACTACGAAGTAGTGCATGGCAAGAATCCAAATAGACACAAAGAAGA